TACGAATTAATTCCAATACCTAATATATATATATATATATACATATATATATATATGCTATCTTATTTGAGTAAAGAAATTTTAACGATTGCTTGTCTATCCAGATAGTGATATTTCAATCTTCCGCGGATGTCAATATACATAGGAGGATTTTGGATCACAGATACATGCGCCTGGCTGCCATCAGGCGGCGCTAGCGTCGCGATCGCGAAAGGAACTTGTTGGGGTAAGGGATAGGATGAGGGAGCGCGTAGAGAAGAGAAGTAAAAATATAAAAATGCTTACCTGATACCTCATTCCCCGCTATCTCTTCCGCAACCGCCACCTTCACCACCTAATCATCCTCTTCCTGATCCGCTTCTCTCATCCACGCAGTCTCTTCAGCCCAAGCGGCAATCTCTGCCGCCTCTGCGTCCTCCTCAGCCTCTGCCGCCACTGCAGCAAAGTATATTACACAAAAGTGCAATAATTCCTCCTCATCAGTTATCGAAGAAGTCGAGCATGAACTTGATCAATTCATCACTCGTATAAGATGCAAAATTAATCGGGAGGCTCTCGTCAAATTCATGCTTGACTTCCTTCTCCTCTTCGGTGGGAGCCGAATCACAGAAACATCCTCCTCCTCAATTTCGCCGGTCTCGACGACAGGGACATCCTCCTCCTCCTCATCAATTTTTTCAAATTTATAGAGCTGTCTGAATTTCATTTTACACACAGTCCGTTTAAATACGTACAACTGATGAAAATTCGCACGTACAAGGCGTGGAGAGAGGAAATTTATTTTAAAGCAGAGAATTTTTGTTTTATGTAGCCTAATTTTATATAAAAATTTATTTTAAAACAGAGTGTGGATGTCGGTATGGAAAATGTATTCGTGTCCACTAAGAAGGCCTGATTCGAAGCTTTTTGGTCGGCCGCGGTGTTTCGTCCCGGTCCTACACTACTAGACTCATCAGTAAGGTGATCAGTGTGAGTCCTGCCTTAGAAGTCTAGAATAAATTTAGATTGATGTTCTATTTAAAGGGAATTCGCGTGGGTGCAGTGTTCGCGCGAATCCGAGTGAGTCCCGTTGGATCTCAGGCGAGTCGCCACAAAAGAATTTTTGTTTTATATAAGATGAATTCGCGCGCGAACAAGACGCGCGTGGACAAGACTGACGCTGAAAAGCATTCTTCGCTGTAGTGAGACTGCTCGGGATTTATCTATGGTAGTCGGTGTATATAAAATAAATCAAAAATATTGCTGCGAGAAGATCGACATAAGTTTTGAGGCAGTTGTCCTTGTTATGCATACAGCATCCGACTATCAAATGTCACCGTTATATGCATTGAGATATTGAGCAGCACCGTCGCTGCCACTGCCGCCGACGCCGCAGCCGTACGCTCTATCTCATATACTTACCATATACTTACCATCTTTCTCTCAATAGGTTATGCCGCCCATTGTGACTCATGTGCATCGTATACTTATGATCTTTTCTCTCATTGCAGCTTCCTATGTAACTCCTTTTATTTATTCTCATACACTTATAGGTCAATGTACACGTAACTAACAGAAAGTTACAATAAGCATATTTTAATAAGTATATTACTAAATGAACACTCTGACTGTGACATAAATATATCTTCGAATGCAACCATGTATTTGAAATACATGTATACACGTGTAATATATAAACGCGTTATTCTCATACGCAAAATATATACATATACATATATATTTTTTATTTCTATTATACTTATTCGATTATATTCTAATAATCCTTTTAAAGCGAGCGCAGCGATATTGTCAAACGCGATGATATCATCGATCACGATGCTGTCGGCACATGTAATATGATACCACGAAGAAGATAGGAAAGAAAAGAACGAATAAATATCGCAAAGATGGAAAGAATGAATAATTTTAAACGCTGAGACACAGTTTAAATATTCATTTATTTTTCATATACTATATGTAATATCATCCATAATGTAACTGACAATTCACATTCAATATTTGAATTTTTATCATAAACGTTAGATGTTTGCCGCATTGTATTTGTTATTTGACGCGTCTCGCAATGACATCAAAAATGCGACGTTTGCAATTTTGCAAGCGTCGACGGCTTTATTAGATTTAGCGTAATCAAAGATTTTTAAGGACATGCCGCGACAAGTCACAATATGTCACGGCATGTTTCGCGGTGACATCAACAATGCGATTTGATATAAATGCAACGTTGCCAAATAGTATACATGTTACGTGACCAAGTAAAAATGGTATAAAATGAGAAGATTCAAAGACGTCTCATTAGTCAACGCAACGATAACATGGAGCGCGATTTGATAGAGCAAGCGATCCAGCTGAATACCAGAGAAGAGTACATCGCATGGGAACAACGATGTGACAAGTAGAATACGAATACAGAGATTCATAGAATCTCTGGAAGAGCAGAGTCATGCCAAACGCCCGCGATTTTATTTAATTATTTATTCCATGCTTTTAAAAAACTGAAACATTAAAGAACATAAAATGTCTCTTCTATAAAATATTTAATACGCGTAAAAGGTGCATCAAAGGTATGCGTTTGGTGCGTCTTTGATTCTGTGGCAGCAATACATTCGTAGCATTAAAATATACCTGGAATAATATACATTGTTTAATAATTTATTTATATTAAAAAATTATAAAAGCAAATTTTTACTAACCTCACATAACATCGAATTATCAGATGGAATCTTATCGTCCTGTGTTTTTAGTCTAAATTTTTCTTCTTTCTGGGTCTCGTGCAAAATAACACATTTTATAATCTTTTTTAAAGTTTGTGCAGTAATCTACTACACACTCAGGCATTGTAGCTCTAATGTGTTAAAAAACAAATATATTAAGTTATAATAACTACACAAGAAATTCACGTTTTTATTTCATTAAAAGAATATTGTATAATTCCACTGCAATCCATTCACCACTCTCTTTCTTCTCAATCTAAGTGACTCACCAAATAAAATGACCAATAAACAAACCACTCACCTCTGACGGCTCTGACACTCACAAAACTCGCTAGAAACAGTGTAAATGGCTATTGGCTCCTGCACACAGAATGCAGCAACGCTTACGGAATACGGCGGAAGTTCGCGCGATCAACATCTCGGAAGCCCCGAAAGTAATAAATATATAATTTCCATCGCGCGACAAAAGTTGAACTCAGTCCAACTTTTGCCGCGCGACGGAAGTACAGTCTGTCCGATAAGAGCGTGACTTGTATGAAAGAAAAATTCATTTATTATAATAGCATTTAAATAATAATGATTATATTCTATAAAATTATAATTAAAATGCAATTACATTAATAATGGATCCAGTTATCACCGGTGTCTATAATGGAAAATAATGCATTATGTACAAAGGTGATACCTATCAGTACAAAAAAGGTTAGAAGTGTATCTTTTATCGGCTACGAGTAATCGCAACCACGCTCTTATCAGACAGACTATAGTATTACATCATTATACAATGTTATATTGAAACAAAAACGGTGGATGATTTGCCAGGATGTCCAGGTTTCCAAAAGTGGAAGAACTATTTTGATTTTCGCATATATTTGACAGCAGCGGATTGAGATATTTTCGATCCTTTTAGATATGTATATAAAAATGCAGCTTCAAAGCGCGATGCGTAAGTGGCACTCATTTTGAAATACGCTCTTTCTATCAAGAATCAAACGATAACTTACACTATGGTTAATAATGCATTATGTACAAAAATGATACCTATCAGCACAAAAAAGATTAGAAATCTTTTACCGGCTGCGAGTAATCGCGACTACGCTCTTATCAGACAGACTATAGTATTACATCATTTCTAGAAATTTTGCAAAGTGGAGCCGACTTAAGAATTATAGACTAGAAGTGCAATAACTTCCACGCGGCAAGCGTTGTCGCGTTCCGTGTGCAGGAATCATATATAAATGATACAAACTGATAGTACACACTATCAGTTATAGTACGCACTAGGATAACTTCCACTTTTGCCTCAATTTAGCGGACTAATCACTGATCGTTATCCTATTGTCCGTATTCTTATTATAGGTATTCTACTCCTATTCTTATTACTCGTATATTCTAAAATCATTTCATCTTTGTCGTTTATCGAATGTTAAACAAAGACAAATGATGCTCACAAACATTATGAGTGAGAGCTCCTGACTACTCAACCAAGGACTCTGCGTTGACGGTAGCGACACAGAATCAGACGACGATCAGGCGAAACTGATAGCTATACACTTAAGCACGAGTCCATGTCCATGTGCTCGCCTGCGGCGCGCCAAGAGTGAACGAGACAGCGAGCTCCTTTCTCATACTTGTTTCAAGCGACCGAAAATGTAATCTCGGCGCTCAGCGGTCCTAGGCATCAATAAGGGACAAGGGACATTCTAAATAACATATATTCTTCTTCATAAACTCGAGTAGAATAATTTAATAGAATAATTTAATAGAAGTAGAATTTTACCGGAAAAAAATTATAAATCAGCATATCACTTCATGAAAAGCCATCAGAAAAGAAATGTGTCTGTTCGAGATTCGAGACTTGTGAAGAAAATATGTGAAAAAAATCAAATAGTTACAAAAAGCATGTTTTTCGCTTATAAAATGAAAGATATTGAGTATTTAGGAAAAAAATTCGGTATAAAAAATATAGATATTCGAAATACCTACAAAATGAGACGTGGAACATTAAGAGAATGCTGGAGTGTCCTGTTTTATCATTAAATTTTAAAAACGCCTTCCTCGTAACTGTGTTTATGGATTGAAAAATCCTTCTCCACAATTAAAGTATCAACAACAACGCAAATCGCCAGTTACATTTGAATACGAAAAACGAAAAAAAATTAAAGACTTACAGACTTTATTTTTTTATTGGCTTCTGTAGTCAACACATCACAATATGTGTTGCATATAAGAGTTTCAGATCTTGCACGTTCATAAAAAGTAGCTGGCGAATTGCGGAAAACCTAAACGAACAATCCTATGCTTTTAGAAACGCGGTAGGAGTTTTAGTATAAGAGAAAGGCGTATACAAAAATTTCGTTTGTATATTACGAGTAAAATTGACGTGAAGCCATGAAACTGAGCAGTATTTTAGTTCCGCGATATTCCGACAGCGGCGCTGTCATGAAAAGTGCGTCGCTGAACCATAGAAATGATCTGAATTATCGACCTACTCAGGCCCATATCAATAAACGTGCCCTGATCAAAGTTTTTTCTTTTGAGAGGAAAAATAATAAAATAAATATGATATTAGTTATTTCAATTTTGTTGAAATAATTTCTTCCTAAACAAGAAACATACCATATTATTTACATATGAATACAAATGAAGATAATTATTTTAATTACACTGTTCTGTCTTTTACATACATTTTATTTAGTAAATTATTGATGCATGTATATAAAATAACACACACATATATATATATATATGTATATGTATGCACGCATACATACGCACACGCGTGTGTATGTATGCTATTATATACACACACATGTCTAAACTTTATTTACTGAATTATTTACACATACATACTCGTATATCAAGATTCGGAACGCAATGTGTGTTTCGGTTGAGCTTCCATTCTGCTCGTATGTCGGAATGACAAGCGGTGATCTCGTAGCAAACGTAGCATATAAATGAAATTTTCGAATACACTTTACTCTTATACTAAAGCTCGTAACTCGTTTCTGCAAGCATAGTATTGTCCTTTGAGGTCTTCTGTAAATCCTTGTAAAACTATGTTATTAATATATACGAGGTCTGTTCAAAAACTATCGCGAATTTTGTGTTTTTTCAAAAATTATTTATTTATTCATGAATATCTATTTTCCCCCCCTTCAAAGTAATCCCCATCAGATATTATACACTTGTGCCAACGTTTTTTCCAATTCTCGAAGCACTTCAAAAAATCATTTTTTGTGATCTTGTTCAGCTCCTCCTTCGATGCCGTCTTTATCTCTTCAATCGTAGCGTAGCATTGTCCTTTCATGGGCTTCTTCAGTTTCGGGAACAAGAAAAAATCACAAGGGGCCAGATCTGGGGAATACGGTGGCTGCGGCATCATTAGTGTGTTATTTTTGGCCAAAAATTTGCGCACAAGCAACGATGTGTGAGCAGGGGCGTTATCATGGTGCAAAAGCCAATTTTTGTTCTTCCACAAATCCAGGCGTTTCTGGCGGATTACTTCGCGCAAATTGCGCATAATTTGCAGGTAATATTTCTTATTGAGAGTTCTACCCTC